GAAAGGTTGTACTAGATTAGATTACATTTTTTGTGTGTGGTGCAAAGTTCACAGTGCACTTTCCAATACTATTTAGTATAATTTTTATAGTTTGGTGTTTTTTATATTTTAATTTATATTTTTATGATGACTCATGAACATTTTTTTGTTGTATTTATTGACCATACGTGTTTTTCTTTAGTGAATTTGTCAATTCATACCTTTTGCCCATTTCCCTACTGGGTTATGTGCACTTTTTTGTTTTTTGCTTTTCTTATTGGCCTGTGAGTGTGAGGGATCTTTATGTAGTAACATTTTGTTATATATGTAACCAAGTTTTTTTTCCCCTAGGGTGTTATGGGAGGTTTGATTTTAAAGTTAGGCCCTAACTTGTCTGAGAATGCAGAAGATTTTGGAAAGATGGTGGTACCTGAGTTCAGACCTCTGGCTGTCTCATTTTCCAAGCTCTGTAATAAAGTGATTCACTGAACTGTTAGGATAAATTATCTATGTATGGGAAAGCCTAGCTTACTTTGGGCAGATAGAGGAGAGTCTTAAACATACTTATGTTTTAGATTCCGCACTGAACGGGAAGAGCAGATGGAGCATAGCTTGCGAGTACTTTTACGTATGAGATAAAAGATCACTATGAGGAACCAATTCTTCTTCAGGAACTAGTACCAACAAGAGAAAATTAAAACAAAATAAAGAATTTAAGTTAGGGGAATATGAAATATGTAAGAAATAGATCTAGTAGAATTTATATTCAAATCTAAGTGGAAATGGAAATTATTGTGAACTCTATTATATATATTAAGAATGGATTCTTGATGATCACAAAGATATGCTTATAAAATATGCCAAAAATTGCATATATATATATTAAGGGATTGCAAATGTATATATAATATATATTGCATAATTATAAATATATATTAAAAGATTGTCATAATAGCAACAGATTCAAAGCAATCTAAATGTCCCTCTGGGGAGAGGTAGGTAATTCAGTTATGATATATCCATATGATAGATTCTCCACATAGAATATTATTTTCTTGGGGCGCCTGAGTGGCTTAGTCGGTTAAGCGACCGACTTTCACTTAGGTCATGATCTCGTGGTTCGTGGGTTCGAGCCCCGCGTCGGGCTCTGTGCTGACTGCCAGCTCAGAGCCTGGAGCCTGTTTCAGAGTCTGTATCTCCCTCTCTCNTCATGACCTAAGGGAAAGTCGGACGCTTAACCGACTAAGCCACCCAGGCGCCCCCAAAAACGTATATAATATTCACCAAAGACATTTACTTTAATGTTCCTTGCAGCATGATTTATAAAGTCTCATACTTGAGAACTACCCAAATGTCTATCAGTAGTAAGTTGAATACATTTAGATAAATTCACACAGCGGAATACTATACAGCAAAAAGAGTGAAGAAACTATGACCATAGACAGTTTGCATCGTCAACATAATGTCCAGCGAAAGAAGTCGGACAACAGAGTATATTCTGCATGACTCAATTACTATAAAGTGCAAATATGAGCAAAAATAATCGATGCTGAGTGAAGCCACTACTCTGCCTCCTCCAAAGAGAGAATATAAGGGAGCCTTCGGGGGAGCTGGTCTCTTGATCTTAAAGATACTTCATTTTGTGCAAAATCATTGAAGTTGTGTAATGTGTGCCTTTTAATATATACTATACTTTAATAAAAACTTTTTTTTTATATGGAGGAAAGGAGATCTGAGCCTTCATCCAAATTTGCCTCCTTGGGACCCTATAATCGCCCATGAATATTGGGTGGGGTACAGGGCAACCCAGATCCAGGATCCCAATTCCCCAGAGCCCAACTGAAAGTGACGATGCCCTGTGACATCTTTATATATTTTTACTACAATCCCATTTCAACGGGTTCTTTTCCTAAATAAAAGAAGCTTGTCCAGAGATCAATTTACTTTCCCCCTATGAGGGCTCAAAACTACAAACTAGTTTGGATTGACATTAACTGAACAACAACAAATAACGGTCATAGTCTTCTCAAGAGTTAAAACCATTGCAGCAGAGTTTATCATATAAAATACACATCTTGTTAAATTTTATTGAAGTGTTATATTAATGTTTTAGTAATAGCGTAATAAAGTTATAAACGCATAAAAACAAAAACACGAACGGCTGCTGCCACCAACACCCCAACCTGAAGTGAGACTCCGGCTTTACCTAAGCGGGTAGAGGGATGGGGAGGGTTAGAAGAAGCCGCTGGAGACAGACGCACGGACCAGCCGGGTGGATAATACAATGGAGGGAGAGATGCAGGTGTGACCGGGGGAACCAGAGGCCGGGATGTAGGGGTGGCGGTCTCCCCGCAGTGAGGAAGACCCTGCCGCCCGTACTCTAGGTAGAGTCGTCCCCGCCACGGCGCGGTGGCTGTGTTCAGGGGCGTGTCTGTGGTGGGGCTGCTCTTGGGGACAAAGGGCGGAGCTTCAGAGGCAGACTTTGGCCCCAGGGTCCGTGCAGCCTTTGGCCCCGCCGCCCCCACCTGCCCAGCAGCGAAGAGCCAGCGCGTCCCCCCCCCCCCCGCGGAAACGCCGCACCGCCCGGGAGTCTGGCGAGGTGCGCGCCTCCCGGCCCCCGCTCCGACGCTTCGCGGCTTCGGGCCCCCAGCGCTCCTCTCGCCCGAGCAGGGGCGGGGACAGGGTAGCACCTACCGGGATCCGAGACTCCAGCCGCGCAGGAGCCTTCGGAGACAAGCCAGCCAGACGGCACCCTGGTACCTCCCGCGCTGAGGGTCTGAGCCGAGCCGAGGGTAGGAGACACCCAGGGTGGGAGGCGCCGATGCCGGCTTGACAGCGCGTCCCAGGTTAGCTTGCGACGTGGTCTCTGCAGGCCACACTTGGAGAAACTTTGGATCGCCGTGTTGGCTGCCGGGCGCTGCCCGGGGCCCCGCGGCCTCGGTGCGTTCCGGTCGGTAAGCTCAGGCCCTGGGAGCCCGCAGCTCCCACTCAACCTGACACTGCAATGCCCTCAGCGAGGACCGAGACCCGGCACCAGCGGAGGGCTGCCAGAGTACAGGGGCCTGGCCAGACTCCACTCGAGCCCGTTCTCGCGCCTCTCTCAATCCCTGCCTGTTTTCGGCTCCGGCTTTGCAGCGGCTCGGTCTTGAACCTCGCCTCCTTCTCGGCCTTGCAGCGCCGGAGGGCGGCTAGGGGCAGCCAGCGGCTGCGGGATGTCGGGGAGCATCCGGGCAGGGGCTCGCGAGCGCGGGTTGGCGCCGCAGCGGGAACGGCGCGCGCGAGGCCTCTGGAGCGCGCGGGTCTGGGGGTCCGACTTGCGCGCGTCTCCGCAGGTGCCTTGGGCGGCCCGGAGGCGGGAGGTACTGACCGGGTGCAGGAGACGGGTAGGGGGCTGCCGAGCCTTTTGCAGCCACTGGCTTGACAAATGGGAGCCACACAAGGGCGGGCAGCCCAGTCCCGGCGCCTCTCGGGCGCGCACAGCCTTGGCACCTGGAACCGGTACCTCTTAGAGGAGGTCCGGGGTCCAGAGGTGCGCCTGCCCCAGGATGGGAGCAATGGCTGCTCCCCTCCCGCGCGCCATTTCCCAAGGTAGGGCCGTGTCCTCCCGGCTGGCGGTGCGGGGACCGCTCCTCAGCCCCTCTGGGCAGAGCCCCTTCACGTGGATGGCGATCACCTCAGCTCACCAGCTGCCTGTTTGTCTCAAAGACAAGGCGACAGAACGCACACCCCGCCCCCATCGGTGCCCCGGTGCTGTCGCCCCAGTCACCTTCCTTTGCCCTTCTCCGACAGCACCACGGGCTTGCTCGCTCTCGCTCTCAGGAAAAACTGAGGAAACAAGCGTGGTTCCTGGAGCCAGCGGGGACTGTGGAGACACAGCCAGAATCCTCAGCAGCTTGGAAATCCTATCATCTTGGTTCCCTGAGACTTGCAGGTATAGGTTTGTGTGTCTGTGTGTGCATCTGGGAGGGGTGTCTACTGAGACAGGCTGGGGGTGTGCCTGCCCGGGGGCCCAGCCCAGAGGCCTAGGGGACACACAAGTAACTAGAAGACACCAGTCCCTTTTGGCTTTGTGTGGGAAACAAAGCAAACCTTAGCAGCTACTCCTTCCCTTGGGCAATTTGAAAATATTTCCTACAAGTCAGTGCCAGAGAAGAACACTTTTCCTGGCAAGCCATTCCATTGCCTGGGACAATCTCAGATGCATCTTTTGTTTGGCTCTGCCCCTTTCCTTGCATGGCAAGAAGCCACACGTTTTGCTTGTGGCAGGACTTGGTTCAGTGTAAGTGCCACTGGCCCCCACAACCTGACCTTAGGCTGCCCACTACACCTCTGAATTTTTCAGACCTGTCTGGGAAGGGCAAAACAGCAAACCTATAGTGCCTGGCTCATTCTAAGTAAGGGTTGTACTCTTCTCTAGACCCCTGGGCTCCTTTATCCCTCTCCAAGCCACGGCAGTCATCTTTGCCCTTTGCCTCCTCCAGGAGACCAGTGATGGAGACAGCCTGGTTGGAGCCTGAGGTAGGGGTTGACAGCAGATAGGAAGTGAGACTGGATGAGGAAGGAAGAGTTGGTCACCTGTTTTCTCCAAGTGTGCATAGGAAGCACTCCCTATTGCATATGTGGGCGTGGAGCCAGAAATCTTACTTTTAATAAGCTCTCCATGTGACTATGCCCAAAGAAGGTGGAAACCCCATTGGTGTAGGCACTTTGGCCTCCCACTGTCAGACCCCATCAGCCCAGGAGACACATTTAGTGATGCATGTTTAGAAGCTGATATTTAATTCCTAAATGGCAAATGATCTTTTTTTAAATTCTTACAATCATCTTCTGTAGATACTATCTCCATTTTAGGATGAGGAAACTGAATCTCAGAGGATCAGCTTCCCAAGGGTTGGCAACTTGGGAAGAGACAGAGCCCCAGTCTCTACTGCATAGCCTGCTGCCCGTTCTGAGCATGCCCTGGTTCCCTTGCGGGTAGCACAAAGACAGGACAGCCTGGAGCAAGGGTGAGGGGTTGAAAATCCAGTTTGAAACCCATTTGTTTATTTCCAGCCTCCTTGCCCTTTATGAGTGGGAACACAGATCCTGTTTGGAGGTAGAGTCAGAGTCTCAAAGGAAAAAAACATTTCTCTCTGAATGCAAGGAAAATGGGTGGCTTGGAGAAAAAGAGCCACAGGGAAGGCCAAGTCTATCATCTGTAAGATGGCTTTTAAATACCTCAGCCCATGTGGTACTGCCGTGGTTGGTACCTCTCAAATCAGGTACTCAAAACAACTCTACTCTGTGGGAAGCTGGTATCCAAGAAGCAAGAAACCTAAAAGAAAGGACACAGGAAGATCTAATTAAGTCCTGGTAAGCAGGGGAGAAAGCAGAGTGACTGGGAGGTATCCCACCCCGCCTTCCTTGGCATGGCCTCCTCATCTGCATGGAATGGGGTGATGGGGTGCTAGGCCAAGTGAATGCTGAGGCCCAACCCCAGCATCCTTACAGGCCAAGCATCGGCTTGCACACACAGGATGGTGGTGCCTGGGACCCACTCCAGACACTTTTACAGACTCCCAATCACTGAAATATAATTAACTGAACAAACACTGTAGGGATGTCTTAAGAAGGAATTAAAAAACTAAACTCCAAATGGGAGAAACGTGTGGAACAAATTATTGGTATTTATGTAACTCTGAATAGCTTTGATTTCCTTCAGTAGGAACTGACAGCTGGCTGACAAAAAATTCATCCAAGGAGAGAAAAGACATAAGTGAAGTCTGAAATTTTGAATAACATTTTCAGGTAACTTTCTATTTCTATTTAGAGTGGGTGTCTGGAGGGGCGAATGTAGTTATTTGAATTGCTTCATTTATCAACAGATACTTTTAATAGGGCTCATAATTCTAAGACCCGGTGCTGTTTTACTTCTTTTTCCTGGCTTCTAGTCCCTGCTAGCAGGGCCAAGATCTGGAAATTCCACTATTCAGCCTGTAGTCTCTCACTTTATCCCCTATTTTCAGCCTTTCAGATCAGTCTGTTCAGAGAAGAAATCTTGTTTTCTTGCTTAGGACAGTGATTCTCAACTTGGGGTGGGAAAAGTTCTCAACTTGGTGGGGTCTAGATGTTCTGTCCACAGACTTTGAGCCATCCTTATTTTCTGCCCTGTGCCTTACTGTCACTTTCTGTGTCCCTTGGGGCCTCTCAGCCCTAAACTTCACAGGTCCTGTGGGTAAACTGGCTCCCTTGTCATGGGGGCCACCTCCCAGAGGCTCTGTGTTGTAGCGTCTGGCGTACTAAGGCAGTTTACCACACCACCATCCCCACTCGCTTTCCAAAGCTTGTTTGAAATTGCTTCTCTAATGATATCTCTCTCCTCCAGGTTTTCTTTGTTCTTCAGAATATATATTTAATTTTTTTAAATAACTAAATTGTAATTTCAGTGGGGTCTTGAGAGTAGAGAAAGAAACTAAAAGAACATAGTAAGTATACCATGATGAATCATAAGAGACGTTAAAGACATTCTAATTTTAAAATAAAAAATAATTTGTCCAGCTGTTTATTGATTAATCTTACAATATGCTGAAATTATTCTATTTGGAAATTATAAGTACATTTAAGGCTATTTTTCCCATATTCATTTAATAGATTCCATTTATGCTTACAAAACATTAATTATATCGATCTTTTAAAAACTACATTTTAAATATTTTATGTTATTTAATTAGTCTGTGAATTAGAGACATGATAAAAATAAAAGAAATCTAAATTCTGAAAAAAATTTGTAAAAAGAAGAATACAATGAGTAGTAAGGCACAATAGGAAAGTCTTTTCCTAGATGTCTGATTTCATCACCTTGCTCCACCCCCTCCCCACCAGGGATGAACACTAGATCCCTAATCCTTGTCATCCCACCAATGAGGAACCCAAGACTGAGAGGCTGAGATTGAACAATGGCATATAGCTAGTATGTAGGTGAATCAGAATGGAAATCTGGGTCTGACTCCTCAACTTTCTCCAGCTGAACTGTTACCTATTTGGATGGTGTAACTGAATTTGGAAATTATTTATATGCTACATTATAACAAAGGGTCTGACTGAATGTTAATACAGTATCAGCATGGGGTGCTCAATGAGGATGTTTCACAGGAGGAGACAGGAAGCAAGAATATATCTGAAGTAGGATAATCGTAGGCTTGAGAAATGATCTTCATTACAGGTAGGGCTTAGCTCTATGAAGAGTAGATAAATTGAACTTTAATATCAGCATTTTTGATGTGCAGGTGAATGAGCTATGATAAAAGAACTAGAGAGTAAAGGCATAAAGACAAAGGGACTATTCTAGTAATGTACTGATTATAAGACACCAGGAAACCAAACATATATCTATGGACAATAAAGTATCTGACAGCTTTTTTCTCTGTGAAACTTAATTTTAAACAACTTTAGAACTATTCTACTTAAATGTGAACAATTTAAAAAGTGAGCAACCCAAGGGGCTCTGGAAGTCTTTAAAATGAACAAAGAGTAAGGCTTTGCTGTTGCTATTTTTTTCTAGACAGTTCTCCAGCGCCCAGGGGAGGGTTATGCCTTCATCCACAAGACAGAGATATCCCCTAGCTGTCACTAGCTAGTGGTGCCACTGCCCAGCTTCTTCAGAGAACCCTGGAGCCCATGGCTCCCACCCTTCCCACAGGACCACAGTGGAGCCACTGCCCCCTTCAAGCAGCCCAGCCCACAGTACATGGCCAGCTCCCCTTCTTTTCCCAGAACCTTCTGACACCAACCTAGGTGACAGAAAGTTATGACAGAACGTGGTGAGGTTCAGTGTTATGGAGAAGGCCTTTAGCATGAGGGTGGATGAAAAAATGTTAAAGTCTTTTCAAAAGATTCTTGTAGGAGTTTTTATTTAAAAACAAACAAAACAAGGTTGGTCCCAATAGTAGAAACTATATGAGACTATAGTATTGAGATCTGGTATCTGGGAACCTGTTCTCAATTAAATGTTTCTCAAATGTCACTTTTGGTCAAAGGTGTTTTTATATGACTGATACTATATACCTTCCAGAATTGCAGTTACTAAATGGTTTCTATATCTGATATTATGTTGCAGCTAATTTCTCTACATCTCTGCTTTATTAAACCCATTTGTATGTGAAAAACGCTAAAAGAAGGTTTCTTTTGGGAGCTCTTTTCAGATGCTTTGCTTTCAGAATAGACCTCTGTTGGGACCCAAGCTGTCAACCAATCCTAAATTCCTAAGGTCCCAAATTGCAGGTATGCCTGGCTTTTGAATAGCTTTTCTAGAATGTTGCACATGGGGACAAAAATTGCAGCATTCACTTTCATTGTATTTATGTATGTGTATATTGAATATTGTTCTTTGCTTATTAACATCATGAATGATGGAATGAATAAGTACATTCTTTTGAATACTGCCTTTCAGGAGCTCACAAGTTGAAATTCCTGAAAGTCTAGGCATAAATACTATTGATAACACCACAAAACTGAATTATATTGTAAGAAGCTATGATCTAAGATGATTTTTTAAAAATTTTAATTATGGGTGATGCCTGGGTGGCTCAGTTAAGTGTCCAACTCTTGATTTTGACTCAGGTCATGAACTCACAGTTCATGAGATCAAGTCCCATATCAGGCTCTGTGCTGACAGCGCAGAGTCTGTTCGGCATTCTCTCTTTCCCCCTCTCTGCCCCTCCCCTACTCACTTGCTCTGTCTCTCTCTTAAAATAAATACATTTTTTAAAAATAATTTTTTAATGTTTATTTATTTTTGAGAGACAGAGAACGAGTCAGGGAGGGGCAGAGAGAGAGGGAGACAGAATCTGAAGCAGGCTCCAGGCTCTGAGCTGTCAGCACAGAGTCCGATGCAGGGCTCAAACCCATGAACCATGAGATCAAGACCTGAGCTGAAGTCAGGCGTTTAGCCACCTGGGCCACCCAGATGCTCCTAAAAAAATAAAAATTATGGAACATATCTTATGTAAGTGCTATGTTCTTTTCTGTATACATGTTCTATTTTACAAAAAAAAAAATAGATTAGTACTATCATACAGAAGAGTATGTGAAATATGTTCTTTTAAAGAATAATAATAAAATGGACAGGTATATACAAATCACCCAGATTAGAAACAGAACATTACCAGAACCTTAAAATAAAAGTCATTGTGTGTCCTTCCCAAATTGCATTGCTCTCCCTATGCCCACCAAAAAGTACCTTTCTCTTGACTTCTGTGTTAATCATTACATTTTTTTTAAGTTTCCCACTTGTATATGATCTTCAAGTAAATTAATTGTTAAACTGGGTAGCAAGCAAAGAATTAGTTGAAAAAAAAAAAGGCATATAGTGCCAATATATGACTAAAGCTCTCAGGAGAAGGTAAGTTTAACAGTCTCTGGATCAGAGTTTGGCCCAGCGTTTATAAGAGCCCCTTCTGAGCAAGGGCAGGAGTCCTGGATAACAAGGGGCTCATCATTATAGGGCTTCTGGCAGGGCCGTAGTGTAGCCCAAACTCTGGATATCCAAGGGGAATGAATGTTCAGTCTTTCTCCTCCTAAGCTCACCATGACTTATCCCCAGGTCTTGAAGCAGATCAAAGCAGAACTGAGCAGAGCTAAAATTAGTGGCACCAGCTGCCCCAGAAAGCTGAGCATAGAAGAGGGAAGAGAGACATGGTCAGGACAAAGCAAGGAGAGATAAGTACTGAGGACAGGCTCACCTGGGCATCTGGTTCTCAGTTAACAAGGTGGTAAAATGATAGTATGATCTCAGAGATGATGTCTGTGCACATCCATTATCCTGGCCCTTCGCCATCTTCCTGGAATTTTTTGTGCCTCTCCTCTAAGATGATCTCCAGCCTCTGGTACTTTGTTTCATCTTTCTTGTTCTACAATTTCAAGTTGGTAGATAAATCCTTCGGTAGGTTGTTAAGAATATGTCTCAATTCTTGACTGATGGTTTGGCTAGATATAGAATTCTAAGCTGCGAAGCAATTTTCCTTCAGATTTTTAAAGACTTTCCTCCACTGTCTTTTACCATTGTTGATATAATCCATTGTAATTCTTGATACTTAAGCATGTAACCTATCTACCCCACTCCCCACCTTCTGCCCCCAAGCTTGTGGAATATTCTTTGTTCTCAGTGTTCTAGAGACTTACATCTATGTGCCGTGGTCAGGTCCATTTTCGTCTATTGTGCTGTGTTCTAATTGGGCCCCTTCAACTTGGAAACTCATGTCACTCATGAACTTTTTCTATTTTGTCTTGCCAGAACTTTTCTAGTAGTTGACTGTTGGATTTCCTAGTGTAGACCTCTAATTTTCTTATTTTTGTTCTCTCCTGTTCTTTTTGCGTAATTGCTAGTGATTTTATCAACATTATCATCTAACCCTTCTATTGAGTTTTGCAGTCTGTATGGTGTTATCTTTTGAGAACTCTTTTTATGGTCTCTGAATATTCTTTTTTTTTTTTTTAAGTTTATTTATTTTGAGAGGGGGAGGCAGAGAAAGAGAGAGGGTGGGAAAGAGAATTCCAAGCAGGCTCCTCACTGTCAGTACAGAGCCCAACGTGGGGCTCAATCTCACAAACATCAAGATCATGACTTGAGCCAAAATCAAAAGTCAGATGCTTAACTGACTGAGTCATTCAGGCACCCCCCAAATATTCTTTTTTCATAGAATCTTATTTTTGTTTCATGGTTACAACATCTTCTTAGCTCTTCTTAGCTCTTTGAGGATAATGAGCTTTTGAAATTTTCATTTTCCAGACTAATACCTGTTTCGTCCAAGTTGCTTTTTTTCTGTTTGTTCTGGTCTCTATCTTTAAAGTAAGAGGCTGTTTCATTTTGTTTTGTGTTTTATTTTTGTTATCTGTTCATAAGTAAAGGGCTTGATTTAATTTTTTTAATGTTTTATTTATTTCTGAGAGAGAGAGAAGAGAGACAGTGTGAGCAGGGAAGGGTCAGAGAGGGGAGACAATTTGAAACAGGCTCCAGACTCTGAGCTACCTGTCAGCACAGAGCCTGACACGGCGCTCGAACACACGAACCATGAGATCATGACCTGAGCCAAAGTCGGAGGCTTAACCAACTGAGCCACCCAGGTGTCCCTAAAGGGCTTTATTTAAAAAGCTGATAAAGAGGCATCTGGATGCGTCAGCGGGTTAAGCATCTGCTCTTGATTTCAACTCAGGTCATGATCTCGTTTCGTGAGATCAAGCCCCACATTGGTCTCTGTGCTGACAGCTCAGAGCCTGCTTGGGATTCTCTCTCTCTCCCTCTCTGTGCCCCACCCCTGCTCACATGCAGGGACTCTTTCTCTCTCTCAAATAAATAAATAAATATTTAAAGAATTAAAGATAGAGCACCTGGGTGGTTCAGTCAGTTGAGCGTCCGATTTCAGCTCAGGTCATGATCTTGCATTTTGTAGCTTTGAGCCCTGCATCAGGCTCTGTGCTGACAGCTCAGAGCCTGGAGCTTGCTTTAGATTCTGTGTCTCCCTCTCTCTCTCTTCACCTCCCCCACTCATGTTCTGTCTCTGTCTCAAAAATAAATAAGCTTTTTTAAAAAATTAAAGAAATAAAAAGCTGATGGAAAGCCTTGAGCACATGGGTGAGGCTTGTAATCTTTTTCTTTTCTTTTTTTTTTGAGAGAGAGAAAGTGAGAGAGTGCAAGCAGGGGAGGGATAGAAAGAGAATCTTAAGCAGTCTCCATGCCCAGCTCAGAACTGGACACAGGACTTTATCTCACTACCATGAGATCAAGAGCTGGATGCTTAACCAACTGAGCCAAGGAGGGGCCTTAAGGCTTATACTCTTTAAACCTCACTGTAGGATGATCTGGGTGGCATGTTAGGGAATCTCTGTGGTAGGTTCTCTTAGATATTTTTTTTAGGCAGGTCAGATCCTTGAGAGCAATATTCTACTAAATAATAAGGGTATAGCTGTCAAGCTTCTTGAAGTTGAGTTGGGGAGAAGACTGTGAGTCCCTTCACTCAGTGGTCAGTAAGCATCCAATCACTTATTCTCTGTGTTCTTGCCTGCAAATATGTTGGGTGTCTTCCAGTTCAGAGACCCTCTGTTTCACCATTTCTGAAGAATAAAGCTCTGGACATCTCAGATGGCACAGGTAGTATCGTATCTCCTCATGGCTTGGAGTGAAGGAATGACCTAAGGCAGTGCTTCTCAAATTTAATGAACATCTAAATCACCTGAGGATCTAGTTAAACTGTAGGCTCTGGTTCAGTAGGTCTGGACCGGAGTCTCTGATTAAACTTCAGGGAATGGTGCTGCTGCTGTTCCAAGGTAGGGTCCCACTATTAATGGCAAGGACCTAGGGATCTAACTGCTTCTCAACTTTTCACCTAGTCCTCACTATTTTAGCTACTCTGTCCAGCACCAGCACCAGCACCACCCACCCAGTTCTAGAACTTCCTGCTGTACCGCCTCTCTCAAGGAATCTGCAACGGACGTGGGCTTAGTTCTCAGCTTTATCACAAATGAACTGGGGCACAGCCTTTTCAGGTGGGCTAAGCTGGTTGCCACTGGTCCATCTGCTTTCTGGCTTCCAAATTTTGCCATTGTCTTCTCTCCTTTTCCTGACATCCTTGTGAATTTATGTCTTTTTAAAAATTCTTTAGTGCTCGCTTCGGCAGCACATATACTAAAAATTCTTTGGGTGCCTAGCTGGCTCAATGAGTGGAATGTGCAACTCTTAATCTCAGTGTTGCGAGTTCAAGTCCCATGTTAGGTGCAGAGATTATTTTAAAATAAAAACTTTTTTAAAAATTAAAAAAATTCTTTAGTTTCAGGAGCTTGTTCAGGAAGGGGAAAAAGTAGAGGTGTGTGTTCTGCCATATTCACCCTGTTTCCATCTGTTAAAATATTTTTCTCAAGTTTGGCTATATCAGCATAAATAGAGCCTGATATATGATAAATAACTGCTATTTTAAGCCTCTAGGTTTTTGCACAAGGAGCATTCTCTATTTCTCTGTTCCTACTTTGTCTGCCTACCAAACTCTTAGTATTCCAGACCCAGTTCAAATGGCTGGCCTCTGTGAAGCCCCTCAGTCTCCAAGCCACCAAAGCCTATATATTCTCCTGACTTTAACTCATAACCAGCTGCTTATGTAATATCTCTTCCAAACAACTGAGTAAGCTCTTCAGGGCTAGAGCATGTACCTTTGTAGCTCAGTGCCCAAGATATAAAAGGAGCTTATGGCTGTTAGATTAAATTCTGTGTGCATGTCTTTCTTTCCCCTTTCATTTTCTTTCTCTTCTCTTCACCTCTTCTTCTGTCAAGAGTTCATTGTATTTATTATCTATTCTATCATCCAATAAAAATTTATGTGCCATATTGTTAATTTGAAAGTACATGAGTAAAATAGGGACGCCTGGGTGGCTCAGTAGGTTAAGTGTCCAACGTCAGCTCAGGTCATGATCCCCTGGTTTGTGAGTTTGAGTCCCACATCAGGCTCTCTGCTCTAAGCACAGAGCCTTCTTTGGATTCTCTGTCCCCTTCTCTCTGCCACTCCCCTCCTTGCACATGTGCATCCTCTCTGTCTTTCTCAGAAATAAACATAAAACCATAAAAGCAAATGAGTAGAATAAATAATACTTAGCAATTTCTAAAACCTACTTCATTAAATAAAACAGACTTAAATATTATATTAAACTCGGGGCACCTGGGTGGCTCAGTCAGTTTTGGTCATCCGATTTCAGTTCAGGTCATGATCTCATGATTTTTGAGTTCAAGCCTTAGACTGGGTGAACTGGAGCCGAGCTTCAGGCTCTGTGCTGACAGTGAGGAGACTGTGTCAGATTCTTTCTCTCTCCTCTGTCTGTGCTCCTTGCTCACTTGTGCCCTCTCTCCCTCAAAAATATAAATAAATAAATAAATAAATAAATAAATTTCAAAACCCATTAATAAATAAATACAATATAAACTCCATTTGATTTTTATCCCCAGCTCTAAGGGCTATTCAAAGACAAACATTCCTCAGCTGTAGGTAAAGACATAATACACAATTCTTTCTTTCTTTCTTCTTTCCTTCCTTCCTTCCTTCCTTCCTTCCTTCCTTCCTTCCTTCCTTCCTTTCTAAGCTCTGCACCCAATGTGGGGGCTTGAACTCACATACCCAAGATCAAGAATTGTATGCTTTACTGACTGAGCCAGCCAGGGGTCTAAAAACATAATTCTTTTTTTTTTTTAATGTTTTTATTTATATCTGAGAGAGAGAGAGAGAGAGAGCATGAGCAGGGGAGGGTCAGAGAGAGAGGGAGACACAGAACTCGAAACAGGCTCCAGGCTCTGAGCTGACTGTCAGCACAGAGCCCGATGCGGGACTCCAACCCAGGAACTGTGAGATCATGACCTGAGCCGAAGTCGGACGCTTAACCGACTGAGCCACCCAGGCACCCCAAGACATAATTCTTATCAACTAATGGAATTATCTGTTGAAGGAGTTTGAATCTAAATTATTTAAATAAATTAAACATAAATAAATTTGTTTTAATAAGAAAAAATAAAATGCTTATAAAGACTACATGACATCACTCACATTTCTAGCCTAGAAACCTTTTTCAGAGCAAATGTACTACTGTCAAAATGTAACCCAACAGGGGCACCTGAGTGGCTCAGTGGGTTGGTTAAGTGTCCAACTCTTGATGTGGGCTCAGGTCATGATCTCTTGGTTAGTGAGATTGAGCCACACCAGGGAGCCCTGCCTGAGGCTCTGCCCTGACAGCAGGGAGCCTGCTTGGGCTTCTCTCTCTCCACCACCCCCCATGTACACTCTCTCTCCCTCCCCACCCCCCAAAATGTCAACCAATTGTATGTGGCTAACTCCATTATCTAATGTATGGTTTAAATAACGAAATCAAGGAAAATGCATAATCACATGTCCACCATTCCCATCTCAGTGTGTCAGTTATTGTGTCTGTTATTTAATGTCTTGTAGTTCAAATGATTTTTCATCCTTTAAAAGAAACATAGAAATGCCCCTCAAATTGAAAAATCTAGGTAATAGTTGCATTATTTAATCAAAAGCACATTTAAGCAATTTAACACTGAGAAGTTTTTAGATTAATCAGCCATAAATATGCTATATATTTTTTTTAAATACTTTTATTTATTTCTAGGAGAGAGAGAGAGACAGCGTGAACAGGGGAGGGTCAGAGAGAGAGGCAGACACAGACTCTGAAATAGGCTCCAGGCTCTGAGCCGGCAGTCAGCACAGAGCCCGACGCGGGGCCCGAACCCACGAACCGCGAGATCCTGACCTAAGCGAAAGTCGGACGCTTAACTGACTAAGCCACCCAGGCACCCCAAATATGCTATATTTTAATTGATTCAGTTGCAATTACACAGAATTTTGGAATTTTTGCCTAAATTACATTTTGGTATTATTTTTCGAAATAGTTTTTATTTTTAAGTTTATTTATTTATTTAAAAATTTTTTAATGTTTTTATTTATTTCTGAGAGAGAGACAGTGTGAGCAGGGGAGGGTCAGACAGAGAGGGAGATACAGAATCTGAAGCAGGCTCCAGGCTCTCAGCTAGCTGTCAGCATACAGCCCAACATGGGGATTGAACCCACGAACCATGAGATCATGACCTGAGCTGAAGTTGGACACTTAACCGACTGCGCCAACCAGGCACCCCTAAGTTTATTTATTTTTGAGAGAGAGACAGAGTTCTAGTAGGGGACGGGCAGAGAGAGAGAGAGACACAGAATCTGAAGCAGGCTCCATGCTCTGAGCTAGCTGTCAGCACAGAGCCCGACGTGGGGCTCGAACCATGAACCATGAGATCATGACCTGAGCCGAAGTTAGACGCTTAATCAACTGATAAACCCAGGTGCCCCATTTTAGTATTATTTTTAAAATATTTTACACAAGTAGAAAATAAGTGCATTATTATTTAATTAATGTGGAATTTAGGGAAGTACTCCATTGGTACTATATCATAAATATTCAATGAAGATTTTGAAAATATTCTAAAATTTCTTTTATTTTGCAATTCACTATTTTGTTCTATATTTATTAATACCATAATCTCATTTATGTACTGTTGCTCTATACACATATATTTCAGAAATTATGAATACCAGCATGAATATAAATTAGAATTCTGGCTAATCTTTTGTTCTTTGTATTCTTTGATAACCAGGTTTTGATTCTGACTTTTGAAGATGGATGAAGGTGTAGAAATTTCAAGTGATGGAAATTCCCTGATCAAAGCAGTCCATCAGAGCCGGCTTCGCCTCACAAGACTCTTGCTAGAAGGTGGTGCCTACATTAATGAGAGCAATGACCGTGGGGAAACACCTTTAATGATCGCTTGTAAGACCAAACATGTTGATCACCAAAGTGTCAGTAAAGCCAAAATGGTTAAATACCTGTTAGAAAACAATGCTGACCCCAACATACAGGACAAATCTGGGAAAACTGCTTTGATGCATGCTTGCTTAGAAAAAGCCGGTCCTGAAGTTGTTTCTTTGCTCCTAAACAGTGGGGCTGATCTCAGCTTGCAAGATCATTCTAGTTACTCGGCCCTTGTTTATGCTATAAATTCAGAGGATAGAGAGACCCTGAAAGTTCTACTTAGTGCTTTCAAGGCAAAAGGGAAAGAGGTCATTATTATAACAACAGCAAAATCACCCTCTGGCAGGCACACTACCAAACAGTACTTAAATATGCCTCCTGTAGATATAGATGGGTGTCATTCCCCAGCCTCCTGTGCCACTCCATCAGAAATAGACATAAAAACAGCTTCGTTGCCACCTACACATTCTTCTGAAACTGAAATGACACTTTTTGGCTTAAAAGGTCTGGAGCTCTCGGGAAGTAGTGACGACACACAGGACCCAGGCTCCCCTGTGAGGAAGCCTGCCATGGCCTCTAATGGGCCCAAGCTACACCAGGCTCCAACCTGGATCAAGAGTCCTCCCTTATTCGTGCACCAAAACAGAGTGGCCTCCTTGCAAGAGGAGCTTCAGGATATTACGCCAGAGGAAGAATTATCCTACAAAACCAATGGGCTGGCACTTTCCAAGCGATTCATCACTAGGCACCAAAGTATTGATGTAAAAGACACTGCACATTTGCTGAGAGCCTTAGATCAGGCCAGCTCGAGAAAGATGTCATATGATGAAATAAATTATCAATCATTTTTTTCAGAAGGAAATCAGCAATGCATTGAAATCCCTGCTGACCCAGATCCAGATTCTAACCAGACGATATTTGCTTCCACCTTAAAAAGTATAGTTCAAAAAAGAAACTCAGGGGCAAATCATTACAGCTCTGATTCCCAGCTCTCAGCTGGTCTTACCCCTGCAACTTTAGAAGACGGCAAAGCACTTATAGGAAAGAAAAAGATCCTCTCACCATCTCCTTCCCTGTTGTCAGGGCCCAAAGAATTGTTGGAGAATATATCTTCAGGTCCCTTGAGTAGGAGAAATCATGCACTTTTAGAAAGGCGTGGTTCAGGAGCTTTCCCTTTAGATCACAATGTTACGCAAGCCAGACCGGGATTTCTGCCACCCTTAAATGTGAATCCTCATCCGCCCATCTCAGATATCAATGTCAATAATAAGATTTCTAGCCTCCTTTCTTGTGGTCAGAAAGTGCTTATGCCAACAGTTCCTATGTTCCCCAAAGAATTCAAAAGTAAAAAAATGTTGTTGAGGAGACAGTCATTGCAAACAGAACAAATTAAGCAATTAGTAAATTTTTAAGAGATGACTAGAAAGCACATTCTGTTCAAATGTCTACATCAGAGAAATACAGAACCAGAGAAGAAATTTCAAATGTTCATCTTTTAAAATATTGTAATTGGATAGTCTGTACTTGTTAGAGGTATCAAAATATACTGTGTATCCTAGTAGGCACTGTGAACACAAATAATACGTAGTTTCTGCTAAGGAAATTCTCTCAAACAAAAATTAAAGCTATACTTCTCAAAATCTCTAATTCTTAACAACCTTCATGTGGTCCAAGTTTTTAATTTAAACAAAAATCAGAAAAAAAAAGTCACATATGTTGGAGATGACTTTACATTTTTTTTCAGATTTTTCAGATATTTTATTAGGAAATCCTGCATTCAAATCAATAAACATTTTTTTTAACATTATAAGTCAACAAATAAGATTGTAATTTTCCATGATGCCAAAAGCATAAAAAAAAGTGACAGTTATAAAATTTTCTATTATCAATAAGCCAAATGTACAAAGCCTAAGGCATAGAGAAAGAATGAACTAATTCTTAAAAAATGTTGACTGCAGCCAGGTGAAATCTAATTAAAATTAAATTTTTTTTCTAATTAAAAATTTAAAACGGCCAACCTATTATAGTAGACTAGGCAGCCAATATTCATGTTGTCCACTTATTCAATGCCAAGTGACAGATCCATTTTACAAGCTAGTAATAATCTATGTGAAATGTTGGTGTGCTGTGTTTGGCTTTGTTTTAATGTAATTTCATGGAATTCTCTCTCCATATCTTTTAATTCCTGCTATTATTTTTAGAGTCTATCCATAGGTTCCCAACAACAAGATAAAGCAAAAGTTTAAAAGCACTCCTCTTTACTTATATCAAATTATTCTTGTTGTTCTAAGGACAACCAAAACAAAAAATAAATGGGGATTTATCACAAATAGAAACTATATGCTTGCTTCATTTTAGAAAAGAAAAGCTGATTATTAGATTATCTTAGGTTAGCTAAAATTAAGAAAGCCAATAGAAACAATTACAAAATACACTAAATATTCGGTCAAGATTAAACAGTATCTTTTAACTTCTAATATATATTCATTAGATATTTATATAATAAGAATAATAAGACTAATTTCCTTAGCGTGACATTCCAATCACCTAGTATTTAGGACCTATGAATAACCTCTAATGAAATAAATGAATACCATGCTACTATCATAAAATGTTACAAAATGATTATATTATCTGTATGATTTCAAAATGTGGTGTTTATACAAAGAATTGTCATTTCAATCAAGCAGTTTTACAACAAAGAATAAGTCAAATTATACAAAACCTGAGTGTATTAATTTGATGACTGTCATATACAACTTTATTTCTTTGCCCATTACTAGAGGAGATCCTAACAATTGGCATGATGCTTTTCTTGGTAATTTGATATAAGCAAGTTGTAATGTACATGGTTAATTATTTAATTTCTTGTGGCTTTTATTTGAAAAGATAATTGGAGTTTTTCCATTTAATGTTTTGAAGAACAATAATATAAATTACGTTAGAAATATTTTTTGATTCAGAACTTAGAATTGTACCTGATGTTTATAGGTAGCTAAACCCTTTTCGCAAGTTTTAATATTGAGAAAAGTGCTTGGCTTTGAGTTGTAAGGATACAATTTGGAAAAATATGCAAATAGATTAGTTCATAAACAAAATGGTATCAATAAAGACTTTAAATGTTATTTTGATTATCATTGATTGTTTTTAATGTTTATTTTTGTGAGAGAGAGAGAGACAGACAGACAGACAGAGCATGAGCAGGGGAGGGGCAGAGAGAGAGAGGGAGTCACAGAATCCAAATCAGGCTCCAGGCTCTCAGCTGTGAGCACAGAGCCTGACACGGGGCCTGAACTCACTAACCACAAGATCATGACCTGAGCCGAAGTCAGACGCTTAACCGACTGAGCCACCCAGGCACCCCAATTATCATTGATTTTTATTTATTTCAAATACTAATGATAAATATTTCAACATAATCTCAAAAGAAACTGTGCCACATGTTACTTTGAGTAAATAGAAAACTAAGAAAGAATAACCATTGTTGCAATTCACATCCCAATGTGCAAAAAATACTTAATAGGATTAAACTTTGTTGAAGGTCATATTTATTTTATTTTTTTAATGTTTGTTTCTTTTTGAGAGGGAAAGCGAGAGGGACAGAGCATGAAAAGGAGAGGGACAGGGAGAGAGGTAGACAAAGAATCCAAAGCAGGTTCCAGGTCCTGAGCTGTCAGCACAGAGCCTCATGTGGTAGGAATTCACAAACTGTGAGATTAGGACCTGAGACAAGTCAGATGCTTAACTGATTGAGCCACTCAGGTGCCCCCATTGAAGGACATATTCAGAAGAGTTTTTAGTCTTCCATTAATCCAAAAAACATGTTAGGGGCTAAGGCTGCTTCAGTTAGTTTGCAAAGCCATCCTATGGGACTTTTCACTCTATTAAGTGGTCTCTATCATTGGGATCCCAATGGTAAGTCACAGATGTTTGCAACAGGAATCAGATATGTATATATATATTATATTGTAACTTAATATAAAAGTATGATTTAACTTTATGAGACAAAAATAAATTTAATGTGCAGTGATCTCTCAACCAGGAACATTTATTTTATTTTATTATTATTTTTAATAGACTCTGGAAAACAGTGTGAGGTTCCTCAAAAAATTAAAAATAGAACTACCCTATGACCCAGCAATAGCACTGCTAGGAAATTATCCAAGGGACAGAGGAGTGCTGATTTAACTTTAATTTCAAGGTATGATGACACTTCATTCATAAGTTTTACAGGTACCCTTCTTAGTTACTTGTTGCTAGGGTTTCCAAAGAGTATAACTAATACTGATTCACAGCAAGGATAATTTTGGGGAGACCATAGGGCAATCCTAGTTACAGAGACAAGTGCTGACAGTGTCCCATCCAAGCAGTGTCCAGGGGAGGTAGTGAACACCTGCCTGGCATATTCTTTGGTAGAGATGTACCCACCAGTTATCTAGTACCTGAACCTTTTAAAATTTCACATGATAACACTAACTACCCTTGTTCTGATTAAATATTCATTATGTAGCATTCTAATAATTTGATTCCCATTTAGCTTCTTTAAAAGAAGGAATAGGAAAAAAATGGGGCACCTGGGTGGCTCAGTTGGTTAAACGTCTGACTCTTGATTTCAGCTCAAGTCATGATCTCATGGTTCATGAGATCAAGCCCCAAGTAGGACACTGTGCTGACATCACAGAGCCTCTATCCCGCTCTTTGTCCCTCCCCTGCTTATGCACACGCACACAAACACACACACACTCTCAAAATAAATAAATAGACATTTTCTTAAAATAAAGGAAGGAATGAACCTGTTAGGGTGACGACAATTATATTAATCATGTTTTTTTATTTTGCTTAATAATATCCTGGGGTCTTGCTGACACTGGAGGGACTGCCTTTCCCAGGGTTAGTTAATTTCTAGAGAAAATAACTTGTCCCAGAGTGTATCTTATGTATGCAAATTGTATGTGATCCAGAATCCATATACTCCAAATATCTCCTTTATCAGACTCTCACAGGGTCTCCTACTCAGAGCAACTACTCCCCTGCCCTAAGCAAGCCAGGATTGGGTACCATACAACCAGAGACAGCTCCTACACCTCAGAAACCACAGAAATTATTCAACTTAGCCAAACCTAAGCCTGCTTACCCTGCCTCAGTTATTCTTATAAAAATTATAAGTCATTCTTATAATAAAGGGTCTTTCTCAAGTTTTCCCCTCACTCCTCTGCCTCCAGGCAGACCCTGGTGCTTTCCTACATTGGCCCAATGTGATAAAGAATGCCTGCCTCCTCTTGGGAACTGTAAGTAACAAACTATATTTTAAGTATAGTTAAAATACTTAAATTTTGACTCCTGATCTGGTGGCCTCAACATATGTGAATAATAATAAAATCTACATTTTAAAACAAGAAGGAATGGTCTTCTTGGAAGTCACAATTCTTAATAAAATAATATTTGAGTTTATATAGCTTTGTTTAGTGTCAATATTCCTTAGCTCTAAGTCACATTTCTAAGTCGTTTCTAAGTCTCCAAGATAAGAGGACCAGATCATGGGCCATAGTAAATCCACTAAATTTACTGGAGCTCCCATTGGCCTCTCCATGGTGACATCCTATTTCCTTGTGTACCTCCTTTAAATGTCTACAATTCTTTTTTTTGTTTTTTAAGTTTATTTATTTAAACTTAAACCCAATGTGGGGCTTGAACTCATGACTACAAAAACAAGAGACACACACTACCCCCTGCCCCTGAGTGAGCCAGCCAGTTCCCCCTGAATGTCTATACTTCTTAAAGGGAAAGCCAGGAGTGGAAAACCTGGCAAGAGTAGGTAACACAGCAAATCACAACAAAAACAATTTAACAGAATTTCATTTAGCTGAAACATTGGATCAAAGTATAACGATCATGAGTAGGCTACATTTAGGTTTTGAAAATCAATTGCTTGTTTAAGATTTGAAAATCAATAATTTACATGGAAAAACTCTAGATTCAGTGGGAAAAGGTGAAGACTAATGATTGAAGTTACATTTTTGTACTTCAATCACCTACATGACTTCTTAGTTTTATTTTCATATTCAGTAAGTATTGGTTATAGTGGCAGAAATTTAAATTTTGATTGTCAGGCCAAAATATTTTCCAAAGGATTTTCTTGTCAATTTCAAAACAAAAAATTGCTATTCTATCCCTGCAACTTTGAGTCCTATGAGTCTTGGGACTCCTGGGGGGCTCGGTCGGTTGAGCATCCAGCTCTTGATTTCAGCTCAGGTCATGATCTCACAGTTCCTGAGATTGAGTCCCACATTGGGCTCTGCGATCACAACACAGAGCCTGCTTAGGATTCTCTCTCTCCTTCTCTCTCTCTGCCCCTCCCCAGATCACACATACTCCCTCTCCCTCTCTCTCTCTCAAAATAAACAAACTTTAACACCTGAAAAACTTTAAAAATGCTAATTCTTTTAAAATAACAACAAGCCCATATATGTTAGCATAAATAACTACATTTTCCAGAATATACTTAGTGAAAAAGAGTGGTATTATTTTTTGGTTTCACATATCCCTGTAATGCTTGGCTTAATAGAAAACACATGGATTCTCCTGTTTCTGCATTCAATTCTGTTGTAATATGTTGTTTTAGTTGAAGCATATGAAGAAAATATGGCTTCACACAAATGTGTAATTGGAAAAGGAAGAAATAACTTAATAGACTTTTCAGATAATTGTGGATAGTCTTCTTTGATACACTAATACTCAAACTTGGGTAAGTAGTAGTTTCTTTAAAGGTGAGCTATAATGTGAAATCTGAAACCACATCAATGAGTTTCCATATTCTATTACACTACATTTCCCTGTTCTGTCCTGCAATTTGAATGGATTCCTTACTCATGCAGGTTTTATAATATCATGGACTAGTTATTTTGAAAATAATGAATCTCTGAGTTATGCAGATCTTCCAAATGTTGACACATTTTACATTACATTATGTTATATTAAATTACATTAAAAATAACATTTATTAATATTACCACTGATATCAGAAAAGAGTCTTTAAGCATTGGGAACTGTCAAGCTCACAATGATGGATTCAAGTTTACTCAAATTCTAATTTTTCATGTAAAAGCTCAGGTTTTGTAATTGGCAACAGATACTGTCAGTTGTTTTCCTTGAAGTGACAGACTTGCTTTGTTCATTTTGGAGAAAATATTTGCCAAATACCCAAGACTGAATAACTATCTGTCAGTTGCTCTTTCAAGTAAATATTTTTTCACATGAAAAAAACGACTAGCTCTTTTTGCAACATATGCTTTTCTTTAGGAAAACCATTGAATTTCAGTATACAGCAGAACCATTCCGTGTTTACCTCCCATTTTGTCACAGAGTATTAAAGAGGCAAGATGTTAATTAATGTTAAAATTAATAATTTTTGCTGAATCATTGATGATACTTCTAAGTCTTCTTTTTTCCTTTTTAATATCAGTATGTGGCAGTGGAGGATATGATTACTAACTGTTGCCATGAACTTGATTTATACTAAGGCATCAACAATTCAACCTACCATTGTTTTCCCAACATTAGTGTAAATGTCAACACGAGACAAGCACACGCTGTTATTTGTGAAATAATAACAATTTCACAAATGGTTTTGATCTCATGAATCTCCTGAAAGTGTCTCAGGGGAACTGAGGGATTTGTGGGCCACACTTATAAGTCTAAGAAAATTACTGAATTTTGTGTTATCCAACTGTCTGTCCATCCATCCATCCATCCCATTTGTGAAGGGCCATTCTGACCAGACATCATATAAAGATTAATAGTTTCTTCCTCTAAAACAATACAGCTGAGAACAAAACATAAACCTGTAAAATATAATCCAGCAGAGAAGGTACCTCAGGAGAAAGCCCACAGGTCTGCCTGGGGAAGTCACAAAAGACTCCTTAAAGGAACCATGGTTTAGGGGCTGAGTTCAACAGACTCTGTGAAGAGGTCATACCTTTCTACTTTAATCCAGAGTTTTTGATTAGCTCTTAAATTCACAAAGTAGCAACAAATTCTCACAGTCAATATTTCAGTAAGGATTTTCAAACTCTTTTTTAACTATGGAATAATTAAAATATGTAGTAAAGTAGCAATTACTTAGGGATTCCTCAAGAAACTGGTCCAGTTAAATTAAAAAAAAAAAAGAGCATCCTTTCTAAAGTTAGAGTAGGAGGTGAGCAAGTTAAGGGGCAGGCAGATGGGGTTTTTAAGCTTTCTTTCCAAGTTGGTATAAAGGCGAACTATCAGCAAATAACTGAGAAGTATAGCTACACCTGGCCTCTGTCTTACCCTGTTTGGGTTAGTAGCACCACCTGACCCTCTGTTACCAAGCAAAAAATACATTCACAGTGCATTCAGTTGGTTAAGCGTCTGGCTTCGGCTCAGGTCATGATCTCATGGTTTGTGAGTTCAAGCTCCGCATGGGGGTCTGTGCTGACAGCTCAGAGCCTGGAGCCTACTTCAGATTCTCTGTCTCCCTCTCTCTCCCTGCCCCCCCCCAACTCATACTCTGTTTCTCTCTCAAAAATAAATATTAAAAACATTTTTTAATTGAAAACATACATTTGCCAGATTCTTTCCTCTCTCCCATACTCTCCATTCAACTAGTTTTAAAACTCTTACAAATTCTTCCTTTGTAACCTCTTTCCTCTGTCCCTTGAACATTTTCATCCACTTTTGCTACCACCTTAATTGAGGGCTTCATCCCCTTTCACTTCCAGAATCCAAGTCTTCTTGTGCCATTGTAAACACCTTTCTAATATTCAAAACTGATATATAAAACGGTGCAATGACTCCTATGGCCTAAGAGAAAAGGAGCCAGCTCTTTGGCTCAGAAAATGATTCTGGCCCCTGCCTAAGTGCCCAGCCTCATAGTATGGTGCCTTTATAAACTTTTGGAACAGGTCAGACCGGTCTCTTCCCCCACTTGAGTTCCTTTGCTCATGTGCCTCTGTCTGAAAAACATATTCCTCTTACTCTACCTAGTGAGTCTTACTCATCACTCAAGACACAACATAAGTGCTCTCTCTCAATTAGAACAAAGTGCTGTCTGTTGCCACAACTTGGTGTATAGTTCCATCACAGGAGTTATAGGAAAAATCCAACTTATTGTCTACAGGTCTGTCTCTCCTGTGTAGATTTTAAGGTCCTTGAGGTAGAAATCATTTCTGAATTATTTGCACAGCCTCAGCCCATCAGACACCAATTAAATGCTTGCCTCTTACCTCCCCTCAGTATTCCTGCTAAGCCCTGAAGACACAAGTGACTGGACAAATTGAGGTCCTTGGGTAAAGGATGGTAGACACAAAGAAGAGAAACAATCACAGTTTCAATAAGAGAATGACATTGGTGAGAAACACTAGACAGTAAAACAAAGACCCTGAGCTCCTGCCGCTGAAGTCCCAAGAACTCCTAGACCCTGCCCTGCTTCTTCCAAGACCTAGTTATCAGGTGGTCTTGGTTTCATTTATTCATTATACTCCCACTTTATAGATAAAAAGTTCTTCAGTACTACTATCTTCATCTTTCTATCATTCAACTTTTCCTTGCATTGATCCACAAATTTATGACAATAAGCAGATTGTAGGCTCTTACTAGGCAGGCTCATATCTTAAATTTCAGTATTACGATAGGGCATTTTTCTATATATTCACTAGGTACTTAATTTTTATCATTACAAGAGAAAAAATCCAAGACCCTAACTCCAACAAACAAGCAAATAAGCAACCTGTTATAAATAACCTTTAACAATTTCCCACTTGAGAAATGGGTATATACCTGACTAATTAGTAATTACATCACTTTTACACGGCCTTAATCAACCATACTTTTTAAAGCTCTGATTTTTTTTTTTTTTAACAACTGGATCTCGTACCGAAGTCTCTTCTAGGACCAGGATTGATGTGCCAAGCTTAGGAAATAGCCCTTGGATGCCATGAGTTCTCAACACCAATACATTAGACTTGAGAACCTGGAGGGGAAAAATAGGTTATACTTATTCTGTGTCTGGGAACTTCTCCCCAAATATTTTCCTATATATACAAATGCATATAAAGTCATATAATTGTACATAAATAGGATACCAGACATCTGTTTTGCAGCCTGCAAATGTATTATTACATAATTATTACATAATCTTTCCATATTAATAAATGTAGATCCTCAGTGTTCATATAGTATTGTATTGCATTCTTCTACATTAAGGCTTTTTTATCATTATTATTTATTAACCAAGTTTTGAAGTGTCTGTTCTTTTGCCCATTTTTAATTGGGTTGTTTAGCTTCTTTATAAAAATCAGTTTACAGGAGTTCTCCAAAGATTCTGAGTATGAGACCTATGTCAGATATGTATTAATTATGCCTTTTGATGAGAAGTGTTAAATGTTGATAAAGCCCATTAATCCATTTTTTCTTTTTTTAAATGTTTTATTTATTTTTGAGAGAGACAGTGAGCAGGGAAGGGGAGAAGAGGGAGGAGGACCCACAGCGGGCTCTGTGCTGACAGCAATGAGGCCAATGCAGGGCTTAAACTCAGGAACCGTGAGATCATGACTTGAGCCGAAGTCAGACACTCAACCAAATAAGCCATCCAGGTACCCCAACCAATTTTTTCTTTTATGATTAGTGTTGTGTTATGATCAATCATTGCCTTGGATGTGGGGGAAATAAGAAAAAATTGGAAACATCTGACAATTTTATATGTCAATTATACCTCTATAAAGCTGTAATTGAAAAAAGAAATTGTTGCCCACTCCAAAGTCATGAAAACATTCTCCTTAATTTTCTTCTAAATGCTTAATTCTAGCTTTCATGTTTGGACCTAAGATTCAACTCAAATTGTTATTTGTGTCTGATATGAAGTAGCAATCAAAGTTTTTTCATGTGAATATCCATTAAAAATTTATTTTCAATAGTATACATTTTATAATTCCCTTACATATTTTTTGTTCCCACAATTTACAATACAGCTTTAAACCTTAGTCTAAGTGATACCCAGCTGATAAATTTCTCCAAATAAAAGAATTTTGCCTAAAGATTAATACTTTTAAAAGTATTATCAAGGGTCAGATAATCAAGTAGCAAAAATAATCTTCTGGACAAAGAATTTTATTTAAAACCTCATTAAAATGCAGTTCATTTATAGATTAAACTCTATAAAAGTAAAGCATGGTCATTTTAGAAAATTGATAAACATTACATTTTACTATAATTTTAAGTTAATCTTTGTTGTGATTGTTAAAATTTTATAATTATAAAATTCTATCTTTTGCTTTTGGCAAACAACCATAGAAAGTGAAGTTTTAGGTGTTATTTTACAAATAGCACTGTATTTAGTTGGAGCTAAAATTTAAAGTGGAAATATAATGGTCTTCTTTAAATATTCCTATGTCTACAATGTTTCATGTTACACTCCTACTGTATCTATCTACAATGGATACGGTCATATGACAAGTCTAGAAGAAGAGAACTAACTCCGTCTGTTGAGTACGTACTATATGTTGAGCATTGAGCTAGATCCCTCTATTACATGAATCTCAATCCTGATAACAACTCTACAAGAAAATCCTCATTTTCCTTCCATTTTATAGATAAGGAAATCAAGATTCAATGAGGTTAAATATTTCCTCAAATCTGTACCTACTAAGGGACTGTATAGCTAGTGGGGCTGTAAGGGAAGTCTGTGTGAATTCAAAACCCAAGCTATTTTCACTATGTACCACTTTATTCTCTGGGAGAAAATGGCTGATATACCAAGGCTAATTACATATCTTAAGACATTCATTGCTAAGTTTCTTTTCAATAAATGAAAGAAGTAACTTGTTTTTCTGAATATCATGCTCAAGATGAAGCCACATACTATAAAGGACAGTTAAGAATGCACCCTTACCATGAAGGGCTTTATAACCTAGCTGAGGAAATACAACTAACATGTATGACATAATTAGTGAACAATATTAAATAGTTAAAATTAAATGTTAAAGGAAGATCTGGAGACCACTGATGTTGCACGCATTTTTGAAATGAAGAACTGCAGATCACTGAGTTGACTTTTAGAGTGGGCTACATTACAGAGGGTCTTTTAAGAGTAAAATTCAATAAAGTTGCATTTAAGAGGCCCCTGGAGATATCTAATTTGGCAAGATGTGCTTACAAAAGCTTTCTTCAGCAGAAATACTCAGGGCATCTCTGAGTAGAGTCATGAACAATGAAGTCACAAAGAACAAGTTTTTGAAGTTCTGGCAGTAAAATAACAGCCTGAACTAAGGTGGTGCTAGTGAGAAATGAAAATCGAATGATGGCCACTAGGATTAAAATTCTGCTCTCCAGGAGGATTGTACTCACTATAGGTAAATATTACCATCGAAATAAAGAATACAAAACACATACATTGTTGTCAGCATGCTCCCAACAATATGGAAATGCTAGATCCATGTAATTTAATCTATATTGTTTTCAGTAAGTGGATTTTATTCTGTCATGAGAAAGGTGCTCACCTGTGTGAAATAATCAATCTCCAGGAAAGAAGAAAGAGGGTGCCATACTTTTGTGGAATCTCTGTAATACAAGTGCCAACAAAATGTGATTTATATCCAAGCTATACCATGTAAATTCTTTCACCTTCAATATATCAAAATTATATTTTATAAAGCGTTTAAAAACATCATTTTCCTAAATTATTATTAGATCAGGTCTACTGAAATGTCTTCTTTCTAAATCTTTTTAAAAAAATGTTTATTTATATTTGAGAGAGAGTAAGACACAGCACAAGTGGGGGAGAGGCAGAGAGCAACAGAAGCTGGCTCCAGGCTCTGAGCTGTCAGCATAGAGCCCGACGTGGGGCTGGCACCCATGAGCTGCAAGATCATGACCCCAGTCAAAGTCAGACACTTAACCAACTGAGCTGCCCAGCACCTCTATTCTTTCCAAATCTTTTAAGTAAGTACAGTGTCATAAAGATATATGCCTAATAAAGTAAGCACTAAGTGTTCTTTGATTAGATGATGTGGAGCATAAATCAATCATCATAATTTATATGGTAATTAATTCAGACCAAAGCAGGGGATTATGAAACCAAAACAGGAAATAACTTAGAAAGATCTTCTTAGAGATTAACTTTGATTCCAATGGCTTGTTTAAATTCATGGTTTTGTGGTTCCAAGATGTCATAGAAAACTTGTTTTTTGTCAAAATGGTCTCTAATGCAAAGTAAATCTTCAATGGAATAGTTATCATTTTTCCCAGTCCAAACAGTCAGGCTGTACCTGCATTAAAATAAAACAGAATTATACAGTGAAAAGTAAAAGATAAGAAACAGTGATGAGGAATTCCATTAAGCCTAAAAATAGTTACTCTCATTTATCTTTAACCCAAATTCACACAGACAAAAAAATTAATTAGCAGTGCTGGAACATATAGTTCCTGTTCCATTCCTTCATCAACATCAAAAGGACTAGAGAGGGAAAAAAAAAACCTTCACATTGCTGTCATCTAAATTAGGTAACTGCTATATCTGAGTTACCAGAATGTTAAATGGCTTTGGAAACCCAGACTGGTTACACTGAAAATGGGCCAAATTTTGGACAAAAAAACTATAGAGATTGTACTGCTGATCAAGGAATCTGTTCCCTACAGCTCTAACTTGGGCTTTTTCAACAGGCTGGGTGGAGTCAAAAGCATGATTGCAAGGAACTATGAAGAGATGTAAATGTCACTGATATTACCAACATTCATACTCACTTATAAGTGGCCCTGCTCTCTCTTCTGAGGGGGTTTATATGAGATATAAAAATACCAAGAGATGTCACTGAGGATGCCAAACAAAATAAATTTAGATCCATTTCTGGAGTTAAGAAAACAATAATAACATATGCAGATTTATTATGGATGTTAAGAATATATTCAGAATTTTAACGTAGTTTAAATTGTGTATTCTTTCAGTAGACATTACTTCTATTACAATACTCCTCTTGCAGGGTGCCTAAGTGGCTAGTTGGTTAACCATCCAACTCTTGATTTCGGCTCAGGTCGTGATCTCACACCCTGATCAAACCTCACTTCAGGCTCTGTGCTAGCAGCATGGAGCCTGCTTGGGATATTCTCATTCTCTCTCTCTCTCTCTCTCCATCTCCCTTGCACAGGCTCACTCTCATTCTCTCTCTCTCTCAAAATAAATAAACTTAAAAAAAGACTCTTAAAAAAACCCACAATACTACTATTATATCAGAGTCTAAGAAAATGCAAAGCTGGTAAGTAGTTCCACATCTGTTTTCCCCATAAACATGTTGGAATCCAGGAAAAAAAATCTCCAAAGCACCTCTTCTATTACTAATGAGAAATAATCTAACCAAGGTATATGTTCTTGCTGTGATGACATATTCCTGTCCTTAAGGATGGTGACACCATTCTGTAAATGTAACAGAGAAAAGTATTTTGAATTTTATTCCACAGCACCATTATGTGGCAAACCAAAAAGAAATTTTAAACTACAGGTGAGGACACACACACGTGAGTTACTTTAAAACCTATATTTTATAACTTACCAAGACTGGTTCAGAAAGAAATTAAAAATCTAGCTAGATCAATTACTAGTAAAGAAACTGAATCAGTAATTAAAAACTTCTTAATGACGAAAAGCCCAGGACCAGGTGGCTTCACTGGTGAATTTTCCAAACATTTAAAGAATCACAACAATTCTTCTCCAACTTTCCAAATAACTGAAGAGAAGGAAACAATTCCAAATGTATTTGATAATATCACCATTATCCTGACACCAAAACTAGAAAAGGACACTACTAGAAAACTATAAACCAGTATCCCTGATGAATATAGATGAAAAATTCTCAGTAAAATACAACCAAATTGAGTTGAGTGGCACAATAAAAGAATCACACACCATGATCAAGTGGTATTCAACTCTGTGATGCAAAGATAGCTGAACACACACAAATCAATCAGTGTTACATGTCACATTTAATAAAATGAAAGAATCATATTATCATTTCAGTAAGTACAAAAAAGCATTTGACAAAATTCAACATCATCTCATGATAAAAACTCAGTAAATTAGGCTCAGAAGGAACATATCTCAACATAATAAAGGCCACATATGACAAGTCCACAGCTAACACCATACTCAATGGTAACAGGATGAAAACTTTTCCTCTAAGATCAGGAACAAGAACAGGATGCCCACTCTCATCACTCTTATTCGGCACAGTACTGGAAGTCCTAGCAGATGACCTGCTTTTATACATAGACTTTGTAAAAGACTCAACCAAAAATCTGTTAGATCAGTGACTTCAGTAAAGTTGTAGAATACAAAATTAACGTACAAAAAAATCAGTAGCATTTCTATACACTAACAGTGAAATTTTTGAAAAAGAAATAAAGAAACTGATCTCATTTACAACAGAATCAATAATAATAATAAAAGACATAGGATTAGATTTAACCAGGAAATGAAAGATTTTTATGCTGAAAACTACAAGACATTGATGAAAGAAATCAAAGAAGACATGAGCGGAAACGTATCCTGTCTTCACACATTGGAAGAATTAATATTATTAAAGTGTTAATCCTACCAAAAACTACAAGACATTGATGAAAGAAATCAAAGAAGACACGAATGGAAACGTATCCTGTCTTCGCACATTGGAAGAATTAATATTATTAAAGTGTTAATCCTACCAAAAGATTCAATGAAATCCCTATCAAGATTCAATGGCATTTTTTACAGAAGTAGAAAAAAAAAACTCCTAAAATTTATATGGAACCACGAAAAATTGAATAGCCAAAGAAACCTTGAAAAAGAAGAGTAAAGCAGGAAGCATTACACTTACTGATTTCAAGTTATACTATATAGCAATAGTCACCAAAACAGTGTGGTATTGGCATAAAAACAGACAAATAGACCAACAGAGTAGAATCAAGAGCCAAAAAACAAACCCAAGTATAAACGATCAACTAGTATTTGGCAAGGGAGCTAAGAATATTCAATGGAGACAAAAACAGTCTCTTCAATATATGGTGCTGGTATAACTGGATAATCACATGTAAAAGAACTAAATTAAACCTGTATCCTAAACCAGTCACAAAAATTAACTTGAAATGGGTTAAGGAATTAATTATAAGACTTTAAACCACAAAACTCCAAGAAGAACATATAGGAAAAAAGCTCCCTAATATAGGTCTTGGTAATGATTTTTTGGATAAGACACCTAAAGTACAAGGAACAAAATAAAAAAATTAACAAGTGGGATTAAATCAAACTAAAAGGTTTCTACACAGCAAAAGAAGCCATCAACAAATTGAAAAGACAACCTATGGAATAGTAAAAATATTTGCAAACCATGTATCAGGTTAGGAGTTAATATCCAAAATACATAAAGAACTAACAGCAAAAAAACCTACCAGCAATAAATTACAGCAAAAAAAAAAAAAAAGACATTAAATAACCCAAGTTAAAAATGGGGACGGGACCCTATGCCTGGGTGGCTCAGCCAGTTAAGCACCTGACTTTGGCCCAGGTCATAATCTTATGGGTCATGAGTTTGATATCCACATCAGAGTCTATGCTAACAGCTCAGAGCCTGGAGTCTGTTTTGTATTCTGTCTCCTTCTCTCTCTGTCCCTCCCCTGCTCACTCTCTGCCTCTCAAAAACTGAATAAATGTTAAAATTTTTTTAAAAAAATTTTTAAAAATGGGAAAAGGATTTGAATAAACATTTTTCCAAGAAGATATATGAAAGGCCAACAGGTACATGAAAATATATTCAACATCACTAGTCATTATAGAAATGTAAATCTAAACCACAATGAAATATCTCATACATGTTAGTATGGCCATCATCAACCAGACATGAGATAACAAATGCTGGCATGGGTGTTAAGAAAAGGGAACCCTTATGCCCTATTGGTAGGATTATAAATTGGTATAACCACTATGAAAAAATAGTATGAAGGATCCTCAAAAAAATAAAAATAGAACTACCATATGATCCAGTAATTCCACTTCTGGGGATATATCCAAAGGAAACAAAAATAATAATTTGAAAAAATATCTGCATCCTCATGTTCATAGCAGCATTATTTATAATACCAAAGACACTGAAACAACCTAAGTGTCCATCAATAGATGAAGGGATAAAAAAGTTGTGGTATATTTACATTAAAAAAAGAGCTCTACAAAGTTACTGTACCTCTTTTAATCCTCCCTCTATTATATTTAAAGTGAAATAGGAAAAAATTGCCTAAGGGTAACTTAAATTGTATTCTTTCAAATCAATTCTCAGGTGTTATTTTTTAAGTCCTTTTTATTGTGAAATAACATATATAGGAAAAACACATAAAACCATAAGTATGCATTTTTAAAAATTATTATAAAATGAACTCCAGTGTAACCAAAACACAAATCAAGAAAGGGAGCACACCACTACTACCTTGGGAGGTACCTGTATGTCACTTGGTGATCACAATCTCTCCTCTCCGCTGGAGCCCTCACAACCTTGCCGTTTGTGGTAGCCATTTTCTTGCCTTTCTTTGTTTACTGCCTATAT